AAAAGTAAATAGAGAGCAATCAAAATAGGATTGATGAAAACCATAATGCTGAAGAGAATTAAGTAGAAAGCTTTGCAAACCAACAACGAGGAGATTGCTTTAGACCATATTGAGATCGACGCAATCGACATACCTCACCAGTTCGAGGAGAATAAAAACTAGGAGGAAGTTTTATGTAAACTTCTTCAATCAAATCACCGTGAAAAAATGCATTGTGAAAATCCATCTGATGGACCTCCCAATTTCGAGTTGCAGGAACAACAAAAAATGTGTGAACCGTGACCATCGTAGAGACCGGAGCAAAAGTCTCCTGATAGTCAATCCTTTCAACTTGCCTATTGCCCACAATAACCAAGCGCACCTTATAGCGCTCAACGAATCCATCATAATGATACTTAATTTTATAAATTCACTTACAACCAATAGCATGCTTGCCGGTAGGAAGAGGCATGACCAAGTATGATTGTTCTCCAAAGCCTGAAATTCAAGCTGCATGGTCGAGCGCCAGCAACTATCGCGAACTGCCTCGGCGAAAGTCTGCGATTCAACAACGGAAGTCACAACTGCCAAAAAGGACTTATGGCCGGGTGAGAATGAATCGCAAAAAATATAATGAGCTCGAAAGTCTAGTGTGCTACAACCTTATTTTTGGGGACAAAATGTACAGAACCGTCAGCACTACACGAGTCGTATTTGTCTTGCAGAAAAAGATCTTCTCGTCCCGGCTTTAATCTTTCCGCTTAACATTGTAATCTGTTTTTCGATTTTTAGTTCATATTGTAAGAATTGATGAACATTTAAGTTCGTATGATTTTCGCGCATCCAATACTATGATCGTAACAGTAGTCGCATTACCTTGTTTGGCGTACGTGGTTAAGAGATTTCGAAAGTACTAAATAACCCGTCTAAAAGTACCCTTGTATCGTCAGGTACAATTTTTGCCTTCCAACTTCAGTAATAATAAACAGGCAGTAATGAGTATATTAAAACTAGTTGGACCATGTGATAAAATTGAGATTCGATCCCATTGTGCTTTTCAAATAGTATAGTTTATTGTTCATTCAGAATAACATACTTGTTAACAAAAACGTGTCCTATTTGAATCAAATTAAATAATAATGCGATTGGTACTGGATCTAGATCGGCATAATTAATTAAATTAAATCATATATATAAATTTGTACAAAAACAGTCAATGTTCAACCTTTCTTCACACTTCCAAAATTATAATTCTCTCTCTGTATAAATTAAATCATATATATAAATTTGTACAAAAACAGTCAATGTTCAACCTTTCTTCACACTTCCAAAATTATAATTCTCTCTCTGTATAATAATAAATAGTTTGCAATTTTAATGACTGAAGAGTTTTACACATTATAGTACACTCCACCATGTGTAGGCTTTTCCTATATATATACATGCATTGCTCTTCCTCTCAGATATTTCTTGGCCACCATAACTCTCTAACACACTCTCTCTCTCTCTCTCTCTCTCTCTCTCTCTCTCTCTCTCTCTCTCTCTCTCTCTCTCTCCTATAGATGTATGAAAAAAAGTAGGCACATCACATACATACATACAGCGTACTCACATGCAAGTGCATATGCGTGCATGTTATCTGGTGCACGTCCTAATCCATCTTGGATATTTGATTAATCAGCATATTAATTATTTCACGGCCAATTATATAGAATTTTCGTCAAGCTCTAGCATTTAATTCACGAGCTAGTTTAATTTTTTCAAGTATTGCTTCATCTTTGATTGCGAATAAAACTTTTTATGCATGCAAGAGGAAAATTTAGCTAATTAATAGAGGGTTGCTGTACGGTGACAGAAGAGAGAGAGCACAGTCCGGCAATGGCAAGCCCGAGTTTGCTTTTGTTGGCACTGTGCACTCTTTCTTCTGTCACCGACCCTTGTTCCTTCTTTGAGTTTTTCCAAACAATTAGACTTTACCACATTTACNCAAAACTCGATTTCAGGTTGTATATATACATTCTTGGAATGCGTCTTGGCGGCATGTATCTTTATTTAAGTTTTATTTTTTTTTTTCTCTTTTTTTCATTCTTTTTTTGAAAAGCAAATATGCAGTGTTTCTTACAACTTGAACTATTGGAACATTAATCATTTCGGAAGCATGTGGAAGTTGAGTTTCCAAAACAATGTATCCAATAATTTGACACGTAAAGAAATAATTCACTTGGTATTTGTCACGAAGAAGATCGATCCAGATAGAAGGATTTTACCCTGTCAGCAATTATTGCATTTTATAACCTTTAAGTTTTCCTCATTCTTCTTGCATGAGGAAAACCAGAGATGAGGCTTCGTTATATATTTCACGAGACATTTCTTTAATCTTGCAGACATGATTCATGGACAAGAAAGAGCACAAACCAGAGACGAGGCATCAAGTTGTACTGTGCCGTCTGATATAGATTAGTTCTTTTACCGATATGTTATAATCTGAAATTGCAATTGCGTGACAGATCCTTTTCCAATTTTCCCATTATGTTACTTACTGGAATATTGTTACTTTTGCCATAAAAACACATAGTTATGCCCTCTCATCCATTTACACATTGCAAGTCGCAATCAGAAAATATTGAACATTAATTAAGGTCGCTTTCTTTCGCACCCACTAGCGATACTCATCTCAGGTTAAAACTGAACACGACTAAATTTCGTGTTTATAAATTACTAATCACAATTTCATTTTTGCCCTTCTCAGGACGATTGGTAAAAACTAAAAGTTACGAAAATATAGAATTTTATTGCTCGGGATTCTCAATTATTATTGTATTAATAATTTTACCATTTATTCCATTTTTAATATCAGAATCTGTTTAGTGCTTAACTGGGATAACCCGTGGGAAAATGCCCATCACCTAAATATTCTGTAACATAGCACAAGAACAGAAAAGTGCAACGCGCATTATTGAGCAATTATTATATCTGCAATAGTGTCAAGTTTTAATGCACTTTCCTCTATCAGTTCAAAAAGAACTTTACTTCCCAGCTGCAAATGGAAAAATATGAAACAAGCCTCGCATCGAAAAACCTGAAACAGACACGAGCAAGTATCACCCTTCTGCAAGAAAAAATTGCAAATTACCCTTTAGCTAGCTTCATTTATCGCAACTTGGATGCGAAATCAAGTTTGTGTAG